TGCACACCGCAGCATTGTCCGTATCCATCTATGTCTTCACTCCCCTCCATCCTCACTGATCAGGAGAACCTCCCTCTCCTGCCTCTCTGCCTTTGTCCCTCCCTCTCTCCCACCACTCCTGCTGCCAGACTCCCAGGCTGCGTTGCATGCGCATCCCCTCCCCCTCCCTCTGTGCTCCATTGTGAGTGCTTGGTTCAGCAACCTCAGCCTCACTTCTGCAGTATGCAGCTCTGTCTCGCTGTGAAGGCTAAGCAGCCAGAGCCAAGCGTGCCACGGCCTCCTATTTGGGCTCAGGGGAGGGGAAGGGAAGCACTTCTATAGCTGCAGGAAAACAAGACAGCAGCAGGACTGTAGAGCTCATCTACAGACAGATGAATGTTTACTAGCCTCTATTGACTTGTAATTTCAGAGCTTCATAAATCCCTTTCCCTTGCTGTTGCTCTCCATGTTAACATACAAGTATTCAATTTAGGGAAAACGACTGGCAAATCTGCCAGTTCTGATTTTTTTAAGGGATGCATTATCCAGTCAGGACTGAGAATGGGGAACTTTTTCCTTTAAATCAGATTTATTTTCCTTATTCCAGTGAAGACATCAATTTTAATGACTTCCATCATTTTCTGTCTTTAAATGCATAAGAAAATCATGTAACATGATATGCCTAAATAAATTAAATAACAAAGCATTCAATGCATAAAAGGGGAATTTTTATAGTGGGATTGAAAAACACAGTCAAATCTGGAATCGGCGTATCAGGCTTTGAGGAAAAGAGATAAAAATGGTATTGGTAAGAAAAAGAGAGATTATCGCATTCAGATAAATGTTTTTATAACTATAAACTTTGAGTAAATCAGAAGAAGAAGAGAGAAATTTTATTTCATTTGACAAGATTCAAGAAATGTGACCCTGCCTATGAAAACCCAGCTAAAGTCATTTTTTGGTGAATCTCAACTTAATGTATAAAACCATTCTACACAATGTTAAGAATAGTTTTATACATTAAGTTGAGATTCACCAAAAAATGACTTTAGCTGGGTTTTCATAGGCAGGGTCACAAATATTTAGATTTTCTTTTTTTTTTTTTAACAAAATCAATGTTATGACGAACCCTGGATGTAAAGGATTAGTATGTTATGGGAAATCTAAGTCCAACACATGCGTGCATCCTCATAAGAAACTCTATTAAGATCCTCTCCACATACAAAACCCTATTCACCAATAATGTATAAGAACACTAGGAGAACATTTGCTGGTATAATGCTGTTTTCGGTGGCTGTCATTTGTCTGGATTTAATGCCCCTCCTCTAAAACTCATCTGATGGCCCCTGAGCTGCGACAATCTGTGACCTTTGCTGCCTCATAATTCTCTCTGCAGATGTACTCTTGGGGGATTGGGACAAAATCGGACACAGTTTGGAAGTGTGGCACTCAGCTGCTTTTGAAAACACATAAAATAAAGAGAAAAAAAATAAAGCTGCATGTTAGGCACGCTAACTATTTATGTAACTCTGAATGTCACTCTACTGCTATGTTTCTGGGTTTTTGTGTGTGTGTGTGTGTGTGTGTGTGTGTGTGTGTGTGTGTGTGTGTGTGTGTGTGTGTGTGTGTGTGTGTGTGTGTGGTCACTATTAATGTGGCTAACACCAACAAACTGGGAAGATTTGTATTTGTTAAAGTTCAAAATCAATGTTAAGGCAGAAATTCAAAATCTTTCATTCAGTAATAGTCCAAAAACCTCCTGTGTTTCCCTCTTTCAACATTCTATATTCCTTTATTGTTCATTCTATAGAAGGTATTCACCAATAAACAACTTGAGGATTTAACATAACATTATACTCATTCTTGAATCCCATAAATGTCCCAAAGTTTGTCTGTTTTGCTATTGCATGTTTAAGCCCAGGAACTGAGCCATTTGTTTAACATATAAAACAATATGAACATATGGATCGAAGTAGCAGGACAGTTACCCTCCACTGTTGGTTATTGACTTTTCAGAAGGAGGGATTGCTGTAAAACAGTTTTTTTTTCTATTTTTAAACTAACTAATTAACCAAATTAACCAGCCTGATCAATTTTATTTTACAGCAAAGTAAAATCCAAACACATTTATGCTGTTTACTATACTTAGGCTGGAATGTATTAGTCACCTAATAATACACTTTGAAAATCAAACTGGTCCTTTGTTTTTGTTTTTTGACAATTTTTTTTCCAAATATATATATTATTTCATTATTATTAAATATTTACAATATTTTTAATCAATTATGTAACCTTAAAAAGATTTAAGTCAGATTCAAGAAATGTATAATATAAATAAAACTTCTAAATAAAGTAATCCACTAACCGATAGAATAACTTTTCTTACAGTTTTTATATAAAATCTTTAACAATATTTTAGTCTTCATTTTCTGTATTACTCTAATAGAAATGATTATTTAAGGTTGTGGTTTTTATTTAAGGTTGTGAGAGGTCTGAAAAAGGAGCAAAAAAAATAGAAAATTGTGGAAGTGACAGTATTACTATGGATCATTAGTCATCCTTAAAAAAAACTAAAATCTAGCTTTATGAATATTTAAAGAGTAATGGCAATAAGCCCCCTCATGTGATAACTATACATGTAAAGACAACTCTTTTTGAACTTGACTTATACACTGTGTGTTGTTTTATTTTTGGTTCCATTTGCTTGTGTTACTTTAGGGTTTTTGGATGGACTGGCCATTTTACATCTTTTTACCTTTGTACCTTTTTATTTTTTTATGGCTTTTAATTTTATTCATCTCAAGCCTGACCTCAAACCTGAAAAGGAGCTCTCTTTCAAACGGCATCTGTTAACCACTAAGAGTCCATTTCTATAGAGTTTAAAAGTAATTATTAACAACCCTGCAATATTCTAGTAAAAAAAAAAAAAAACATTTCTTGGTACAAAAAGGCCCTTTCTGCCAAATGATAATTTGTTCTTGGAAATGCATCATTTTTGTTTTAACTACCAATGATTTAAAGTAACGAAACCAGGGTTTTATGTGTTTATTAAATATAATTTCCCAACCAGAAGTTCTGTTTAGGCTCTCTTATTCAATTAAAAAACAAATGGTTCAAAAAGGAATAAAAACCAGCATAAAGGTTTTCCTAAATCAAAATGATTTAACATTTCCCAACTATGAACCAAACTAAGCCTTACCACAACAAGGTCTGTGTAAGAAACCCAATAATGACATAGAAATATGTATCTGGGATGATAGAGGGCACATTGACCCAAAACTCTTCTTCTTATTCTTCATTTCTTTTTATAGAAAAAAAACAACAACAATATTCTACTTTTACATAAAGCAAAAGAAAAACAAACAATAATATCTCATTGAATATTTCTAATCTAATATTTTAACAGTAGTAGCTCTGCAAAAAGCAAACATACTACTAACATTTGCATTAGATTGGATGAACCACAGAGTTTTTTCACCTTAATATAAGCAGTAAACATGCTCAAGTATATTTCAGCACATGGCTGCCTGAATGATGTCACAGGAGGAGGATGTTTACTCTCCTACTATCACCTGATGTGACATAACTAAGGATGGGCGTTGTGATGCTCCTACGTCTAAGAAACAAAACGAAAATAAATTCCCAGTTATATGGTGCAGCTTCACTTTCATTTGCTTGTGGCTGGTTTCCATTAATCATTCTGCATTGCATAAACAAGCAACCTTTTCAGAAATCAATGCCATTAATTGTCAATTTGTGCAGACCTGCAGAGGCAGCTAAAAATGCAGACCTTTCTAGCGCCAGGACAAAATTTGAGTGTAAACACAAAGATACAGCTTTAGAAATCTGTTTTTTTCTGACATTTCAAGGAGCGGAAAAATGACAATTCTATTGCTCTTATAAAAGACAGATATCACTTTTATTGCACTTACTGCAGATATATCCCATGTAAGGTTTTGGTGATTATTCTTTTTTAGATCTGTTTCCTGTAGCTCTTTCCCATGCCTGCCTCCTGAATAATTCAGCAGCCAAGGTCACGGCGCTAAAACCCCGCTCTTTTCTGTCTTTAATGCAGAGGGTGCCTTTGAATTTCTGCAAACATAAACTTAACAGCAAAATTAAAATCTGGCCCCAAAATAACTAATTGGAAGGTTTAATGAAGCAGCTTCTAAATTAACACTATCTGTTTTTTTTTTTGCATACATGGGTGATCAGTGCTAGAGATCGGATGGGTTTAAACTGTAAGGGGGGTTGCTTTGTCTCAGCGATGTGGAATGAAATTCCTCAAGCTTGGATGATTTAGAAAATATTACACCTCGAAATACCACCAGATTATGGCTGAAAGACATCCCATCCGTTCCGTATGCTCAGTTTTCATAACAAGGCCAATAAAATCTGTTTGAAATACAAACACTAAAGCAGCTGCAGCAAACCACAGCATAGAAGGAGGATAAAAGAAACACATCACACATCTATCTCTCTTTATTCAGAATGATAGAAAGCACTAGACTTGCACTATCTATAGTCCTGTCAGACTTATGAAACATCCAGGCTGGTCTCACATCCTGGTGAAGTAGGGGTGCTCTGCATAATGCACAAGGTGCGCAGCTGACTTCTGAGGAGGAGGAGAGACAACCAAGCCCTGCATGAAAGGCCTTCTTTACTGGGGTTTGAAAAACAGTCGCCCAACATCAATTCATAGTCCTAAACACATTTAAAAAAGGCTAATTACGCTGTTACATAAAACTAATGCAGACTATGCTTTATGCTCTGTTTTATTTTACACCATTAGGTGATGTATATATATATTTTTTTCTTTGTTTGCAAGTGAATTGAATAAGCTCTGTTTTTTGGGGGCATTTCTATAGAGAGGCACAACTGCTGCTGTATATAGGGGGATTTCTCCCTATAATTGAAATCTCAAAGTGGACTTCATTAACCTTCAATTTCCAATCAATATTCTTCACTCCATCTTCCTGGCAACTTGTGCGGGTGGTGGGATAAACAATGTAAAGCCTTACCATTCCGTGCCAGCTGATGACGATCCCAGTCCGGAGCCAGTCCCTTTCAAAACATCCCCACCAGAAACGTTGCAGTGACCATTGCTGGGGGTGGAACAAAACATAAAAAGCAAAAAAGGCGTTTCAAAAAAAGCAGGGAAATGAAGAAATGAAAACAAGTTTTAAAAAAAACGGATGGAAACCGGTGTTTGCTGATGCTGAATCACTCTCCCCAGCTCACCACCTTACAACCATTGTGCTGCAAGATGCTGGCCGTACCATTGTAAACCCACCAGAGCTCAGAGACGGAGAGGGAGGGATGGGGAAATATGTTGCTATGACAACCGTCCTGGACCATGTCTGACGTCAAAGCAGAGAGAGGGAGAGATCACATGGAGACAGCAGATGGGAGGGGTGAGGGATATCATCTGATCTCACCCTGTATGCTATGGAGGACCAAGAGAGTCACTGAAAAAGAAAAACAGCTATTTCTTTTTTTTTCTTTATTCTATTTAGTTTTTCATTTAAATTCAATTTTGCAATATCTTTTGCAGGTGACACTCCTGGTCCCTAAGTATGGAGGACCAACTCTGCCATATTTAGAAATAAATACAGAAATAAATAAATGCTCAATAAATAAATAAGCATACAATTAATTGCCCCCAAATATACAATAAACAAATAAATGTTGGTAGAAAATTAAATTATACAGTGAGACATAAATATATGGATCTCATTTAATTAGCTGCTTTATTTATTCGCCTTTGTAATAATTACCTTATTTATTTATTTATTGTCCATTATAATCTTTGACTTTATTTGTTTATTACTTATTTTTTAAGTCTTTATTTATGTGCATGTGATGATATTTTTTTTTCTGTTTTATTCTTCCTTTGTATTTTTTTGACACATCCCTCCTCATTAGCATTATGAGGAAGAAATGCATAAATAAATGTAAAAACAACAGGCAGAAATGTATATATATATATATATATATATAATATATATATATATATATATATAATTTTAATTTCTAGCTTCATTTATTTGTTTATTGTATTTTGGGGGGGCAATTAATTGTATGCTTATTTATTTTAGGAACATTTATTTATTACTGTATTTATTTTTAATTATGGCAGGATTGTTCCTCCATACCTGAGCTCACTAAAAACCAGTTAAAGCAATCACAATTTCTCATCAGATGTTTGATAATTGGTCATTTTGTGCATCATGTGTGGCAGTACAACCAATTATTTTTTTTCTTTTATCTCCATATAAAAGTATGATTTGTAATATTAAAAAACTGATTAACTAAAAGGATTTATAATTCCTCTTTAATAAATCAATTTAAAATGTTTAGTTAGAAAGCGCTTTTCAAATAGGATTTCTAATTGAATAATTTAAATGGTAAATTTGAAGTGGTTTTTTTTCTTCTTCTTCAGTGAAACTTCTTGTCCTCCAGACATGTCATTATTATTATTCATATTATTTATATCGATGTTGTTTGTGTTATTTTTTTTTTATTTTAATGTTATTGTATGGCGTTGTAGGTCAAAAGGTTCGTACATTTTATTTATACTTCACCTGTATTAGGCAGAAAGAGAAATAAAAATAAAGTTAAGTTTTAGTTCCATTGCATTATTATGGGATTAAAAACATTATTTTTCATCAAAGAGCAAGAAAAGAAATAATTAAGTGCAGATCATTTAAAGAATAGAATTAGATTAGGAGGATCATTGATATGAAATATTTTGTATTTAATCTTTTCCAAATATTACTGCTAATTCTTCTAAAACAAAGTAAACAGAAATAGACTGAAAAGTCTTGAATTAAATGTACATTAATTGCATACATAAATTTAGCATATGCAATTAGCCCAAAGATCTTCTTTTTTTTTTTTTTTTATGGGGTATTATATGCATTAGAACAAGTCTTTATACTAATGTTTGAATTCTGCACCTTGGAATAAAAGGAAATCTCTGATAGTCAAATAATCAAGCCTTATCATTCCTGCTGCAGCTTGTGTCAGATGAAGCCAACGTGATGTAAAGACCGTGTAATAACGAATAACAGCCACTAGATGGCGGAAAAGGGACCTTGAACACGCAGCGCTTTGAAGTTCCATGCGGGAAGGAAGTACTCAGCTGAGTATTGCTTCCTGAATGTGTACATGATTCCTTATTTGGGATGTTGTGGGAAATCCAGCGAAATCTTGATTTTTGCTGACTTTCAAAGAAGTTTAAAAAAATAAAAAATAAATTTGGAATGACAAAAGATGGTAATGATAATGCATTTTTGCACACTGATACGTTCTTTAATAGATTAATAAAGCCATATTTTGATTGGATATGGATATTTAGATTTTCCTCATCCACCCTTAAAAGAGTAGCACAATTTTAATTTTTTTTTTCTGATTAAATGTTACACTGTTGCTTATGTGAATAAATGTACTTTTCTTTGTTTGCTTGCTTCCTCTTGGAATAAATGATCAGAACATTATTTGGAATACATAAGGGGAAAAAACAATCTTAAATTAAGCTAAAAAACAAACAAACGATGAATTGGAGAAGTAGGCAAACAATGTGTGTTGTTTTCTTTTTCTATTTTAAATCTAAATTGTAATAAAAATATAGAGAAAATAATTTGTGATAGGTATTATAAATACCATGTTTGGCACCAGCTGGTATTAGATTCTTGCAGTATGATAACCTTTCTGATGATTAAATTTATCTACATTTAGTTGTACTATCTGATCAGGTAGCAGCTGGAATAAATAGTTGTTCTGTCAGCTGTCCTGATGTGCGCAGCTATAGGTGTGGAGGGTGCATGTTGTCTTATTTACATTAGGTTAAACATTTGCAAAAGAAAAAACAAACTGACACAACAATCAAATTATTTGTTGTTTTGGTATAATCTTTTCTGATATTGTGCATGTTCTGAAGTCAAACTTTATCTTTTCTGAAACTTCAAAACAAAAAATAAATCAATAAAAATGTATGTGTGCCTGTGTACGTAAGCTATTAAACTGGACAACGCTCATGAGTATGGTCTGCAATGCTGTGTATTAAACCAGACTTTCAGACCAAGTGAATTTGTCAGAGAAGAAAAAAACAAACAAATAAAAAATCCTAAATTAATAATGTAATGATTAACATTTATTAAATAAATAATGTGATTAAAATAATTAAAAAGATGAATTACAAGTAAAATTGAGTTTAACAAGTTGTTTACAAACTTTGTAATTAAATCCTTCAATTGTGTATGCAAGCAATCAAGGTGTGGTTGCATGTGGAAGGTTGCCCCAACATAAAATCTGCTTGGCAACCCTAGGATTTTGGGACCTTATCCTGTACCTTATATGCATTGATACCATACTGGTAACAACTTCATGGTTACCATTACAACTTATATCACAAAACATTGAAAAATAATTAAAAACAACAAAAGTTAAAAAATTAGCATCTGGCTGGGAAAAAGTTATCAGTCTGTTTTATTTAACATTTCATACATTGTCTTGTTTGGTTTTTGAGATTAAAGGCACACGGATTTGTATGGAAGAGGATTAGGGCCACTGAAAAAAAAATCAACTGATTTTTAAATTTTATTTCAGTTTAATATGGAAAAAAGGCCAGAATTCTGACTTTAATCTCAGAATTGTGACTTTAATCTAAGAATTCTGACTTTTTTCTCATAATTCTGACTTTAATCTTAGAAAACTGACTTTTTTTCTCAGTATTCTGACTTTAATCTGAGAATAATTACTTTTTTCTCAGAATTCTGACTTTCATCTCAGAATACTGACTGTAATCTAAGATTCTGGCATCTTTCTCAGTATTGTGACTTTAATCTCAGAATACTGACTTTAATCTAAGAATTCTGACTTTTTTCTCAGAATTTTGACTTTAATCTCAGAATAGTGACTTTAATCTCAGAATTCTGATTTTAATCTCAGAATTCTGACTTTAATCTAAGAATTCTGACTTAAACTGAAATAGAATTTAAAAATCAGTTACTTTTTTTTTTTTTTTTAGTGGCCCTACTCCTCTTCCGTAGGTTTGAACTGCTCAGTCAATTTAATAAACCAAACTCTGCTCAACCTTTCCCTGCTGGTTGTGTGTTGCCATGGCAGCGGTTGAAATGACAGTCCTCAGGAAGGAGCCAATCAGCGGCCGCGCTTAGGTGTCTGGTTACTCCCAGTCAGTCCACGCTAGATGGCAGAGGGGAGGGCTTATTCCGCTGCTCCACAGAAATGGTAACTTTGTTTCGCGGGAGGAGAGCACTTAACTGAGCCGAAGCGAATAAACGGGACTCCCAAACTTTAAAACTATCTTTTAATGTCCATGTTTTTAAATTTGAACAGCGGTTCAGTCAACGCAGAGGAAAGCTAAAGCGGAATGAGTCGCGCGAGCGCAAACCTGTTGCCTGTCTGCTTGTCCGTGTAGTTAACTACAATCCAAGATGTTGCTTTGTGGATGGGATGGCGTCTGGAGCCGCTGGTGTGTGGATTCTTAGCTTCGCCGGAGTACTCCAATTTGTTTCTCAGTTAACTGTCTGATTCTCCTTCCCGGGTAAGCTACTTTTGAACATATTACATTTTTCGTTTGTGTTTATTATTATTATTTTATTATGTGTGTGTGTGTTTGTGTTTGGCTAACTTTAACCCATCTTTAAAACCTCAGGGATTAAGTAATTTTGAGCAGACTTGATTGTTTTCGGTGCGTAGTTAACAGATGCCTAGCTACAAACCGTTGGATTTTTTGATTTTACAAGTTTGTTAAGCTTATGTTCACATTTGGACCACATCTGTAAAGATGCAGCATTTTGGGAGGTAGAGAACCCCCCACAACAAAAATAGCAGATACTTTGCTGTCTAACAGTTTCCAACATCTATCACTTGAGCAGTTTAGCTAATGTTGACAAAATAGACCACATGTTTAATGTTTTAGCACACATTTCCCCTTGTTAACAAAGCCTTTAGAGCCATATAATCAGTATTGACTGAAGGTTTTATGGGTTGGTATGTGAGAAGGCATCTTTAACCCCCCTCCCCCTTCATTAACATTGAAATATACTAAAGTTAACTCAGAGTAAAAGGTCAGGGGGAAGCTAAGCTAAAGAACATTCCCATCCTGTGCTGTCATTGTAAAGGTGATCTGAGCATCTTTATGGGGAGAAAAGTGGAAAGCTGCTCTTGTGTAGTGAAGAAGGCAGACTGTGTTTTAGTTTTGTTTTCAAGAAGAAAAAAAAAAAGGAAAAAGAAATGCTCTCCATGTCACAGTTCTCATAGCAACCCTGTGATT